GGAAAGGAAAGGAAAGGAAAGGAAAGGAAAGGAAAGGAAAGGAAAGGAAAGGAAAGGAAAGGAAAGGAAAGGAAAGGAAAGGAAAGATTATATTCAAAGTTATTTTATTTAAGTTGCTATTTACAGTGAATTGGATCTGGATAAGTTTAATGTTTTCCCACTGAAAATATTGTGACCAGTTCATCTTTATTAATTCATTAATTCATTATTTCAAAAGAATGTTTATTTGCCTTTTGAGGTAGACTAGGTTAGAAAACTGACACCACAAGACCTACTGGAACTCTATTGTTATAAGGTATGATAACAGAATCTTAAAAGCTTGGCAGGCATTTTCTCTCTCCTGTCATACTAAAGAAAAGCAAGGTGGGGGCAATCTTGAGTTTTTTCCTCACTCCTTCCTGTCTATCTATGGTAAGCTGTTGCCTACATACCAATTGTTGATTTCCTTCTTCAAGTTCATCTCTGTACTCCTCTATACCCCTGAAACTCATCTGCAGCCAACCCAATCACTGTATTAACTCAGTATGCTTACCATTTCATTCATTTAATTCATTTAATCATAGCTTACTCAATTAGGCCCTTTTGGGCTTTGCAGGAAACACTGACCCACAGCTTAACCACTTGGACTGGATTCTCACAACATGCTAGACTAAAAGATGGTTCAGTGGATAGAGCAAACACAGGCAATACTGATAAATATATATTGCTGAAAACACTAAGATTTTTTCCAAAATTTACTAAAATTATAAAGATAGACTTTCTCTAAATGATTTTGATTTGACATGTCATTTTCTTGGCAGATTCTCTGGAGGATTCCCACCAAACTCCTATTCTGCTTGCTTCTAACCTCAAATAAGACTAGCCAAGTTCTGCCACCTATTGAGACACCAAAGGAACTGCTATAGAAAAAACTTTTTGTATCATTTATCGTCATTCTCCAAGCTTTAGACTCAGGCCAAGAGGTTTTAAAGTGCTGGGGGCTACCTAGAAAAGTAACAACTGAGCAACAGTTCAAATTTAAGTCTTCCAAACATAAGAAAAGTTTCATCTGATCATAGAAACTCTGATGTGCCCAAGAAGCTCTTATAAATTCAGTTTTTCTTGACCAAAGAGTGATGCACAGCAGACTAATTTTTCCCACCAAAAAAAGAAATGAAGTCCATGTGCATTTTGCAGCACATACTGAGCTCTACATCATGGTATGGAAATACAAACTAAGGTTTTTATATACTTCAATCCCCAATGTGCACACATAATCAAAACAGCAATCAATTGCTACAGTCAAAAAATATGTGAATATTCCAGCGTCATGAACTGAGGTCCTTGGTATCTCTGACCATATTTACTTCAGATATACTAAAACTAATTGGGAAATTAATGTAAAAAATAGTAAAAAACCCATCAAGATAGGAGATTCAAAATGCTACTCAATTGTGATTATAAATAAATAAATTTCTAAAAAGACACTTCAATATTTTCCCCTCTTAGTGACAAACTGTGACAAATTATACATTTTTATTTGACCAGCATAACTTCTCAAACTCTGCTGTTCCATTCTGACTACCAGACAATTTTGTTTGGACCAATACTACATGTGTACCATATTGCCACAAGAGACAGCTCTGCAACACTGTTTTATATACACGTCACAGCTGTCATCATAAGAAAAACCATCTGTGTAAAAGCTCAGCCCAATTATAATGTATTTCAGGTTGTAATAAAAAGCAGTCCTCCCTTCCTTTCACCCTCAGTCTTCTGAAGTAAACTGATTTCCCATATGTTCCTAAGCTGTGCTCCTTCTTCACTAGTCATTCTTAATGAACTTCTCTATTTATCCCCCCAAACAGAGACAATACTCCTGGCCTTTCATATCTGGGTAGTTCTGCCTGGTTTCTGGTTCCTGTCAAGGAGTTCACCAGATCTACTCTTGTTATTTCAGCTAAATAAAAATAAAAGCATATACATTGTGAAAGGTGAAATTTGAAGTTTTTTTCCCCAGTGTCAAATTATATTATCAGCATTAGCAAAACTGCAGAGTATTTGGTACGGCTTAATACACTATGCATTAAACACACAGTATATTTTAACTAGTTAGATCTAATTTACACAAAGGTTTCTCAGTCAGTGAACTAACTTGCTGCCCACTTCTGTCTCTCCCACATCCATGACTCACATTCACCACTGTAACATTCAACATTACTGACATTATTGTGCCCTCAATACAAAGCAAAGAAAGTGTGCAAAAACAAAATGGATTGGAACAGGTTTAAAACAGGTCACAAAACGAAGCTTCCATGAAGTCGGTACTGAAGGGAAATTTCAGTGTTGCTTCCAACGCAGCAACATGGAGGGAATGTACTGGTGGAGAGCCTCTCATTATGAAGTCATGGACGTGCAGCAAATTGTTAAATATTTAATTTGTATCTATTGCCTGTGTTTTGTCAACTTGTGAGAACTGCAATCAGGTGTCAACGACTTGTCCAGTCAGCATTGTTGCCCACCATCGTAAGACAGCATCAATCCTTTATCTCAGATGCTGATGGATCAGGAAAAATGACAGATAAGGTCAGGTCCCTGTCAGATTCTGACTGCCAGAAAGGTCCAAGATGGATGCCCCTTTGATAATGCTGCTCTGCAAAGTCATGAGTGTAAACAGTTTGGACCTGCATCCCACTTTATAGTACCATTTCCTTTCCTTACTTTTTCTCCTCTGTCTTCTTATATCTTTCTAAGGCAGTGTTTCTTAAATTTTTTGCTCTCAGGACTCCTTCTCACTTTTAAAAATTATGGAGATTTTGTTTGTATGGGTTATATTTATCAATATTTACTGCATTAAAAATTATGCATTTGTAGAATATTTATTTACTGAATCATGTAAAAATAACAATTTTAAACCCATTAGACACTAACAAATAAAATATTTTTCATGAAAAAAACCTATTTTTTTTTAACCAATAAAAAATAAGAATGAGAAGAGTGATGGACTTCTGGGGAAGCAACGGTGAACTGAAGATGGCCCCGCTGAGCATGGAACCGATGACCCCGGCTGAACGAGGAGCCAGTGAATGGATTGGCTTTTCAGAATTCCTCTCCAGACAAGGAAAGGACTCAGGATTGTCCATAAGCGCTCCAAACAGTAGCTCCTCACGAGAGACTGTAAGGCAGCGGTCTTTGGCAGGTTTAGAGCTCTAAGAGCCAAGGGATTGACAACTTTGCCTTTAAAAGGACTCTGGGTTCACCCAGCTCCTTTCTTAATCACTTCTGGAAATTGCTTATTAACTTTTTTTTAATATATTAAGAACCTTCAGAATACAAGTTTCATTACGCTGGGTGAATCTTCTTCAATCCTTGGCAAAAGAAGTTTTTATGCAAGATTAAGGACTTTAAAAATTCTTATTTTGGAATAAACAGCAAAAGAGTGATTAGAACGTTGATTCTGGAAATTTATAAATGGACTAAGGGGCCAGATGGATTTGAAACAAGATTTTGAAATTTATTACAAGAAACCTTCTCATGAGAAAATGCTGTTAATTAGGGGAAAAAACACAATAAAATGGGACTTTGAAGGTTGGACACTAGAGGGAACCAGAAAGAACTAAAGATTATAATTAAGCGACCCACTAATACAGAATGGAGCAAAATACTCTAATTTTGGAAGAATTCAAAGATATTTGGGAATAATGCACTCAGAAATTTCTCTTAAGATTGTCTGCTATCATAAAAATGGATTTAAAAGAGGTTATAGAAGAGAAACAGTCTTACTGAACAAGACTGAGACAGGCTGATTCAAATGTGGATTTAAACATGACAGGTTACAAGAATGATATGGAAGATGTTACACTGGATTTTGAAATGAACCGGCTGGTGTCTTAATAATTAAAAGGGCTATACAAATAATAAACCAGAAGAGTGACTTAGATAACTTCCTTATTTTGGATTTACAAAAGAGATGTGTTAAAGTTTTGAAGGAGTTTCTAAGAAGAGACAGCGAGAAAATGAAAAGAAATCAAGTTCTGGGACATTATTTAATGGGATTAAAGATCAAGATTCTTAAAAGCAAAGGAAAGGAATATAAAGTTGGTTTATTTGATCAAGACTAAAATATATATGTTGTTGTTTCTGGTAACACTTAATGGACTTTTGCTGACCAGGACCTAACAACGAGGCTTTAAAGATTTGTTTATAGACAAGAGATGAGATATGGGAAAAATCTTTTGTTGTATTTTCAGATAAAGTGATAAGTTATTGGGTTAAAAGGAAAGGAAAAAGATATAAACTTGGTTTATTTAAAGTTAAAATATATATGTAGTTATTACTGGTAACTCTTAATGGACTTTTGCTGATTAGGACTGAATTACAAGGCTTTAAGAATTTGTTTATAGATAAGAGAGAGGAGATCTTTTGTTGTAGTATCAGAGAAGGTGATAAGTTACTGAAATTGTTTATACTTGTGATGAAGGGTGAAGTCATTTATTCTATATCTCTTTTCCTTTTTCTTTATTACATATATTTTAAAATGTTTTTCTCTGCACTTTTTATTTTTTATTTTTATATTTTTCTTAGTTTGTTATTAGTTTTTTTATCTTTGTATCTGTAAACTTTAATAAAAATTAGTATAAAAAAGAATGAGAAGAGTGACATTGTTTTACATTTTTGCAAGTACCGTATTTTTCCATCAATAAGACAC